ATAATAGCTAATAATTATATAATAAACACAATATTTAGCAATTTTTTTCCAACCTTTCCTTAAACAGGACATAAAAATATATAAAAAATACGTAAAACCAAAGAAAATCCTATATATTTTGATGATGGAACATTTTTCTTGTATATAATCTCTCTGAACAAAGGCGGTGTATTTAAATAGAATGTGTGACGTTAAAGCAACCCACGTCTCAAGAACTGTATAATCATCGATAATATTCACGTTTTTGATAAAAATATCGATAATTTTCGATTTTTTTTCCATTATTTACAAATACAAGTAAAGGTTATGAAATATTTTGTATACTTCTTAACTTTTACTTGTATTTCGAAATAAATATATATACAATCAAAGTGTAAATACTTATATGTATTATTTAATATGTACACATTATGTACAAAGTACAAACCGACTGAGAATACTAGTATGTTATATACGTATAATAAACAAAATCATTTATATAAATTATATTTATATATACAGGGTGACTGGTGAACTACTATTGATACTTGAGGACGTGATATTTGACGATCATATATGACAAAATAAAAATTAATATAACATAAATATCAATAAACTTCTAAGTAAAGTTAACCAAAAGTTATGTAATTAATTACGCATCGTGTGAACATGAAATTTGGTGATAAATTAAGTACCTATTTTTTTTACATAATTTGAATGAGAATCATGTACCGACCGAGTATTCTCCTTAAATATTGATAGTAATTCACCAGTCACCCTGTATATATGGGGTGTAATGGCATAACTATGGTACGTACATAAGTTCGAGACTCGGATAAGCTATGGTGCAATTCTATAGTATTGATTTTTATGCGCAACTAAACCTTTCTAACATACTTCGCCACTACTTAAAACACGTAGTACAAAACTAGACTTGTAGCGCGATTTCGTCGACGTTAAATGTATTAATATGGAAATAAATTAATTTATAAGTTAAAATGTAAATTATTAAGTATTATTATATCTAAGTTCTCTAAGAACTAGAAGTAACATCAAAAGCGGTCTAGACGATTCAGAGTTAAAGGGGAATGAAGAATTTTTTTTTAAATAAATAAATATTATATGTATCGGTTATCCAAAAGTACATATTAAAAAGCTAGCTATTATTCTACTATAGTAACAACATTTTATTTCTTACTTTATACATTGATGGGTTCCATATATAAGGACCAATGTAGCAATTAAGGCATTTTTTTTTTGCTTTAAACACTTCATAATACTGTATTCTATGATATCCATATAAAAAATGTATATTTTTGGGTGGAAAGACTTATTTTTATTTCATTAAAAGGACATATGTAACACTTTTATCAATCTTAAATGACATATATGTCATAGTTGCTATGCAAAGTTTCAAAAGCATCAGTTGTCGTATGTACAAGATACATTGAAAATAATTTAAAATGTCTGTATTGAAAAATTCACATTTTGTATATTGAGCCTTATGCATAGGAAGCATCGATAAATATATGAATCAAAATCGTGATATGTCATCTTGGAAATATTTATATCTCACTGATGCATTCACTTCCAAGTCTCTTTCGATTTATCATCAAATGCCAACCATATTATTTCACAATCGGAACCGGATATTGCTAATAAACGAAAATAACCTTTCAACTTTGCATGTGATATTTGAATTAAGCTTAGAAACGTAAATTTTCGCTTTACATAGTAAAATTTACAAACAAATTAATTCTTTATGTAGAAGTTATCCCTACTAATATTATAAGCACGAAAGTAACTCTGTCTGTCTGTTTCGCTTTCACGGCTAAACCACTGAACTGATTTTAATGAAATTTGGTACAGACATAGAGTTGACCTTGACAAAGAACATAGGGTAGTTTTTATCCCAGACTTTTGAAAGGTTCTCTTGGAAACGCGATATAACCGAACTCCACGCTGGCGAAGCTACGGGCGGAAACCTAGTTTTAATGAACTTCTTTTAAATTAAACTTATATTTTTTGGTATACTACGCAACTTTATTAATGTAGTAAGCTACATACTCCCGACATTTCGTCTATTTTACATCTCGTCTGTCCGTGATCACAGTTGCTGTAAAGTAATCGAAACGTCGGGAGTATGTAGTTTATAGTCAAAAATAAAACGCGTTGTATATCCGAATAATATTAGTTTCATTTAAATGAATACTCGCGAGAATCTTTGATCTCAATATTAATTAAAAAATATATGAGCAACAATTTCTTATATATATTTCAAAGAATCTATGTTTCTGAAATGTAAAACGGGTTTCAGAACGTATATTGTTAAATATTCTACTCCCTCTATGGTGTACCGTTTCCGGACGGACCGGAAGTACGTCTATTGGGAGCCGGCAGACGGGAATGCTGATAGCAACATTACACAAACAATAAATATACGTTTCCTTTAAGATATATTAAATGTATTTATTTCCTTGATTTAATATTAAAAATTATAATTTAAAATTTCAGTTATATTATCATAGTTATTATATAGAAAAAATTAAATACTATAAATGTCAAAAAATAAAGATTTTTGCAATCTCAATATTTGTAAGGAAAATTAATTAAAAAAATCTCATTTCGATATCAAATCAAGATTCAAACTTGAACCTAAAGTGTTTGATTTCATCCCTCTCGAACTACCCTCCCGGAGGGTGGAGGTGAATGACCTTACAGAGGTCATTCACACGCCCAATATAAACGAATGTCATTGCCAAATTTATCATAGTTGTAATACAGACATATTATATATAAAAATTACAATTTTAATGTCGATTTATACAAAAAAATATTATTTTTAATGCTGTCATTATTAGTGTTGCCAGTTAAAACTTGATTAATTTTGTTTAAAATTGAAAAGTTGTTTAAATATTATGGCAATTACTTTACTATGATTACTAATTGGAAATTATTAACTTTAACTTTTCTTATTGTATAGTATTAGAATATAAGAAACTTAAGAGATATATGGATATGTTTTTACATATTGAAATTAGTAATAGATTAAACTAAAAATGTTTAGACAGGCTATTCTATGAAATATATATAACTTTGATTGAGTATAACATATAATAAATTTGCTAAGGATATTTCAAGCCATCATAATAATTTGTGGGCATTTTCTTTACAATATTTCAGACTATACATATAGTTTATAGCAATAATGACATATTATTATTGATATATTATGATTCAAAGCAGGAAATAACTTCTGTATAAGATTTACACACTTAACTTGAACATAGCTCACAATATTGATTACAGAGGCAATAGGAGTCTTGTTACTTATCAAGGATACTGTATGAATATTATTATATATAATAATGAATCATTATATTATGAGTTAGCATTTTTTACGTATACGTGTATAAGCCTAACGTTCGTTCAGTGAAAGTATGGTATGAAAAAAAACTAAATGAATCATCTGCCCTGTGACTCATACTAACCTAATTGTTATAAAATCGTTTATATGAATCACATAGGATTCATGGGTAGCTTAAACATGAAAATAACCTTGACATTGTGTTGGCGCAATGCGTTTTAGGTAGACGCCCTGTGATACACCAAAATGGAAGAAACGAAACGGTTATGCCTTATATGGTAAAGAGGCGAGGCGACTGCGCGAAGTTGCATCGCTACACGAGTTCGATGCCCTCCAGCCGGCGATTAGGAATATATTCCGCTAATTATATGACAAAAATCATCAACCCGTCATAAATGGTGATAAACCTTTCACATGCGTGAAATATAACACCATTCGTCGTATATCGAGACAAATGTCACGACGTATGTCTTTTTTGATGTTTATTATAAATTTTGAATATATATAACACTACACGTGGCATAAAATCACTGATTTGTGACAAGTATTTAGTTGAAAAGGCGTGCGAAGTCGGCGAAGGATTGTGCGAAATATGGCGGCACCGGTTATAAATCTGGACATCAGTAATGCGAAATTTATATAAATATTGATTGTAATATATAGAAAACTGCACTGATATTGTTAAACACTGTAATAGATTTTGTAAACTTACCATTTTTTGATGTTAAGCACGTAAAAATTCCACTACTAATTTCACCGACTCCACAACGGCGACCGGAACGACACTGATTCGTACAGTTGGCTACACGTTATTTTGTGATAACCAATGAGCGCATGTGTCAAAATGATTAGTCAAGTCAAAACTATGTTTTTTTATTTTAACTCAAGTAAATAAATTCACAAAAATGTTTGATACCTTATTTTATTAAATATTATGAAAAAATTTATATTTTTATTTTTTTCTTGTATATAATAGAGAATGATTTTATTTTATAAACTTGTCACAAGATGACAACTTTTCAAATGCTCTAAGCTATGTTCTTCGGAACACACTGAAGCACTTCAGAGTATAATACTATTTTAATATTTATAGTGTTAGCGGATTCAATAAGATAAGATAAAGACTATAAGTCTTTTCAACGAAGAGATATTACTATTTTCAAGTCTTAATGTTTGATTACTACTCGAAAAGTGACTCATGATGACGATGTATTTCAGCCAATCACAGTCGAGTATTGAATAAAAGTCCATATATGGACAGGCAGATACTGGCGTAAATTGTCGGTCGTTTAAACTTTAGCGCGGCAACATAAAAAAATGTGTTGTCATAACAAACGATAATTACTGTGTATTTATTTTTACAAACTATACAACCGACGGATTCAAATAAGATTTTTATAGGGTGTAACTTCATTCTCAAATTAAAATTTCTTTCAAATTCTCTTATAAATAAAATCCATTGGAACAAAATAAAAACAATTTTGCTTTATACATATTTAATAGAGTCATTTTCAATACATAAATCACAATACATTCTATCCACATCAATAAAACAGCATATAATATGTTAAAAATCTTTATTTCAGGCATTACCAACGTATTTGTGATATCTTTTATATAATGTATATATATTCGTCATCGTCATTTGTCCTACAGAACCAGCTAGCGCCCGTTTTAAGAATGACATAGCGTAAGTTGAATCAGAGACTTGTATTAACATGGCAACTGTATTTTCTAAACGTTGGCGCATAACTTTTGGCGGGAAATTACTCTCCATCCAAGTGCAAATGTCAGCTACAGCGTACGCCGATATTCTTGAAACATGAGTTTTTCGTTTGCATATAGATTGGGTCAATCTGTGAAAGAAATTATAGGATTAATTCTAGTAATAAATCTCCTGATATAATATTAAAGACTATTCATCTCTCCCAGTCTTAAAAATTCGAATACGTTATGTTTTCAGATAATTTTATCCTTAAGTCATTTTTTGTGTGAAATTTTATTTTCAATGGATAGCACTAATTTTATCAGTCATACAAAGATATGTATGAGATAAACATGGAAAATTACTGTGTAATATTTATTTCAAATATTGATAAAAATTAGTTTTGTCATATGTATAAATAAAATGAATAAACTTTTCGAATCCTAACAAGGATTTTAGAAAATGTAATACAAAGTGATATGCTCATTTTGTTGTATATGTATTTTTTATCGGAATAAAGCTTATTTTATTATTTCATAAGGTGATAAACTTTTATTTTACCATAGGATACTGTCAACTAATAATTATTTTTCTAATGCATTGGATTCTTTGTCAAGATATAACTATATGTATGATATCACTAAAATAATAATGACGTTATTTATGCTATTATAATGATTCTAACTCAAGAACTACTGCAGGGGTTTGGCTGAAAATTGGTGCAGAAATAGCATAGAACAAGGGAAAAGACATACAATACTTTTAATCAAATCGAAAAACATAATTAGTTGATCAAATCCAAAATATTCTTATCTACTGTCTTTAAGAAGGGATAAAATTCGCCCAGTCTATATATTTCTTATTCTGAAATTAACACAGACGAAGTTTTGGGCAAAAAGTAGTATTAAATATAATTCCTTATATAAGTATAAAATATCTTCCTTTATATGTAACGTTTTTTTATATTATATATACTAACTTCTCAACGCTATGAGCCATTTCAGCTAGCTTTAGTTCTATGGATATGTCTGTGTCATCCTCGCTTTTAGCTCTCTCACAAAGACACAGTATTAATGTTTTATAACACTGCATGTAACACGGCCATCTGAAATAAATATATTAGGAATTAATATTATTTTAGTTATAAGCTTATTTAAGGATTATATTACATAGAATTCCTTGTGAATATACATATAGTATATATACTAGAAGACCCGGCGAACTTCGTATCGCCCTATAATAAAGAAATATCTGTTACGTTTTTTTTTATTTATATTTTTGGAGTTTACCTATTAAAGCCATACATCTCCGTGTTTTGAAGTGCGACAGAATGATTGACATATTAGTTAATTGTCAAATCTAATATAAAAAAAAAACGTTTGTATCAACAACTACTAATAAATTAAAAATTAATTAAAAAAACATTGTCCAGCGGACAAAATTGTGAATCTAAACCATTCACAGATGCCCCTGAACACAAACAAAAATTTCATCTAAATCGGGCCTGTCGTTTGAGAAAAGTTCAGTGACATACACACTCACAGAAGAATTATATATATAATAAAGATTAAGTTAAAACTCATGGCATTGTATATAGTTTTTAGTATATACATATGTATATATATGTATATTAGAGGTGGTAAAACCTAGCTATGGTCAGTTACTATAGCTCTAACATAGATTGGCTCGACTGGTAAAGTACCACTTTCTCACAGAAGATCGGCGTAAAGGAGTCTCTTATGGCTGCGTTTCGTCGAAAATAATAATAATTTCATCATTATTCATACCTATCCTCCAACATTTCTTCTCTAGATAAAAGCAGATTGTTCAATAGTATAGTACATCCTTCAAACAATATGACAAAAGAGTTCCACGATATTACACATTTAGTATTGGTAGTGTTTGATCCGAGCAAGTATTGGTAGAGATGAGCCAACTCAAATATGGAATCCAGGAATTTGTAGTCGAGATTTATCTGGAATTGGAATTAGATGGAATATAAGAAATGTTTAGTTATTAAATAACAATTGCTCTTATTTATTCTAAATCAACATATATTTTATTGGACTTAAAATGTTTTTTATTTCTAGCAAAGTGCTTATAAAAGGGAAATTATGTGGATTTTCTTGTTTAATGTTAAATATTTGAAGAACAAAATTTAACAAAAATTGTAGATTTATATATATATTCTGCGTATTTTTCTTATGTTAGATATTATCCTTGTATAATTTCAATTATAACCCCATATATATATAGTTTAGGCAGACCCTGGCTACAGCTGGGAAATTGCCGGGTAGAAGAGATATATATATATATATATATAGTTAGTATTACCTTTTTGGCAGCCAAAATAACATCACAGAGTATATCAAGATCGTTCCTCAACAATTCACATATACTATCATCAACCACAGCCTCGTTTGGACCATTCTGTACATTATCATAGTGTTGCCATATCCAATGTTTAATATTTTTTGTAGATCTATATATAATTTTTGTCATGGCAACACATTTAGCCTCTATGATGTTTGCTTTAAGACAGTTTTGCCACAGATATTTGGACACTTTTCTGGCTGTGAGTTGATTGTTCGTGATTTCTTCATTTTTAAGTATAAACAATGGATTCTAGAAATATAAGGTTAACATATAAATGATAATAATATTTATAATGGATTTTAAAATTTACTGTATTTAGGTATCACTGATTAATGCATTCCCAAAGAGGGTTGAGGTCAGGCAGGCGGCCGGTCGTAAAAACAATTAGCCAAAACTAGTCACATGTAAAGCAGACCCTGTCTAAAGCTAGGAAATTGTCAGGTAACAGAAGAAGAAATGATTTTAAAAATTGTATGATATATTAATACTTTCAGGTAGTTCATATTAATTTTAATCTCTTTATTTTCTTAGTATTTATTAAAATAATAATAGTTTAAGTAAAATATCATATGTCAATACAAGCCATGTTTTCTAGAAAATATCTATTACTTTTTAAGGATAAATGTCTATAGAAAATGTTTATTCCATACATTTTTTATTTTATATGTATATTATAAAAAAATTAAAAACAAAGTATGACTTAATACTAAGTGTAAATAAAACCTTAGATGTTCTGAACCAAGCCTCATATTAAGTTCTATTAAGTATATAAGTCTCAATAACTCACCTTAAGTAATGCTAACTTTGATAAATCACCAACAAAATGCTTACAGAAGCATTTAACAGATGACAATTCAGCAAGAAACTTTAACATAACAGCGATTTCATCAACACAGCTATTACTTATTCTCCTCTTTTGCCGCTTGTCAAAAACCATAGACAATCTACAAGTTATCGCAATCCATAGTCTACGGAAAAATTTATTTGCATCAGCAATAAGGTTTGACTTGTTTGAGGTTTTATGCATCATAAATGTCAGTCTTCCGAGATACCTCAAAGTAATATTTATAAGGTTGATTGAGTTCTCAACGTGTTCGGTGATAGATGACGGTTCTTGTAATGAATTAATCTGAAATCATATTAATATTTAAATTAATTAATTTTGGTGGAGTAGAGAGAGAAGCTTGTACAGTGTAGGTGAGCGTTTAACACGATATATAGGGTCCCTTAAACCTACACCTGGGTCACAAGTCCCAGTCACTGTTGAAGCTCCTCTCACTATAACGATGGACCCGACACACGCACCGTGAATACATTGAATGATGAGAGGTTTCGTCTCTCTATATATATTAAACCTACACCTGGGTCACAAGTCCCAGTCACTGTTGAAGCTCCTCTCACTACAACGATGGACCCGACACACGCACCGTGAATACATTGAATGATGAGAGGTTTCGTTTCACATTGTGGAATTTAGTATCTATAATATTATGGCAGTTTTTATACTAAAATTATTGAATACTTAAGTTATTTCCATATAGCTTTTTAAAATAATTACTCATATAACAAAAATATAGTGTTATAGTGATATTTTTTTAATTATATATATGTTTTCTTACCGCTTTATCAACATAGTATTCCAGTCCATTCAAAATACAATTCAAATCCTTCTCATCATTGTTAATACTTTCACATAACTTTAATAAAGTTAGCGAGTATGCTCCCATTGAATTCAGACTCATTTCATTTTCATCATCTTTAAAATTTAAATTTCTGAACGAATCCAACATGGCGGTATTTAATTTTTCCTGTAAATCGGCCAAAATCGATCGATACGCGCTTGTTGTAATATTTTTCTTCTCCTTAGCTATAACTGGTAGAGCCAAACAAGTTACTTCGAACACAGGATTATCGAAATTAACTAAATTACTTATTTCGTTGGTTTTATGATTTCTTAATAGTATCTCTACTATATTTTTTATTACATCCGGATCAGTTTTGACCTTTTTCACAGCTATTTCAATAATATTCTTTACAATCAAAGTATTCTTCGTAGTTTTAATATTCAATCTCAGTAGGTCCAGAATTATATTATTATTGAAATCGAAAATAACATTTTCTGGGAATATTTTATAAATATCCGGATATTTCGGACTTAATTCATATATACTCTGTAATAGATTGTCTATGTTCCTTTTAATTTTTTTATGTTGGCAATAATGTTTTGCTAGCAACAAAACCAAAATGGCGGTCAATTGGTAATTTTCCTTCAAATTACGTATCTGCAATAGTCTTAATATATCTATATTATTTGATAATTCATCTTCATTTAGTATTTTACCGTTTTGAAATAAATCCATAATATTTATCCCTTTCACAAATGAAGTAACTTCAAATGAAGATTTGTTCAATGCTTCAGATAAAACTTCAATATTTTCTATACAATCTATTATATTTTTTGCTACTTTCAACAGAATACTTTGTAATAATTCTCTATTATTGCTAACAGCATGTGTCTTGAATATCTCAGTATTATTATTTGTGGAGTAACTTTTGAATATCGCCTTTGTAAGTATCTTATTTTGTTTTTTATTCAGATTTCTGTATAATGTGTTCGTGAAATAATTATCGTATGTCACAATTTGAGGGTAGTTTGATATATTTTTCAATATATTCGTTTTCGTTTCTGAGATTTCCTCTGCATTTGTATTCAATATCTCCATAGCCATTGTTTGTATGAGTTGCAAGTGATCCTGAAAATAATAAAATATATAATTAAATTATATAGATACATATTATATGTATAAGTTAAAAATATGACCATAAAAAATGATATATAATTTTTGTGGGTTTGTTCGAGTATTTTATTCTTTGGAATTGCTGAATAGATTCTTATGGAACTTTGCATGATAATGCAAGGAATTTTTTGGATATAACAAGTGATGTCAGATATCAGAAGGAAAAAAAAAATGCTTCACCAGTTATTTTTTTATATATTATACTTAAAAGACAGATGTTACTATATTATAAAATAACTAAAAACGTAAAAATTAAGTCAAATGGTAAACATTTTCATCCTTATTCAAGAAGTTTATTACAAACATAATGAGATCGAAGACTTTTGCGAGTATTAATTTAAATGATACTAATATTTTTCATATTATATTAGGAGTAAGTATATTGTTTTTGTATAAACTACATACTCCAGGCGTTTCGGTTACTTTTCAGCAACCGAGATAAAATACCCAGTATAGTAATCCGAAAAATATAAGTTTCATTTATCATAAATATCCTTATTATCACTTGTTCATACGATTTATATTAAGCTTTTGGGGAAAGATTCAACAGATAAAGAGGAGAACAAATCTTTAAATAGATCAATAAAATTACCTATGTATAGAGTTTTCATATAAAATAATTTTTTTTGGATCTTACTATACACATTGAAATAGTGTTATTCCCTTTTTTAATTTTTATTTTGCATGTAATGACACTATATGTACTCAAAAATATCTAATATATTCGTATTTATAACGCGTTATTTTAATTTTTCAATTTACATACTCCCAACGTTTCGGTTACTTTACAGCAACCGTGATCACGGACAGACGAAATGAAAATGGCATCGTCGTAGTAAATAAAAAAAATATTACTTTTATTTAAATAAACACTCGCGAAAGTGTTATAGTCTAAGATCTTCATATAAATTACTATCATGTATAGTATCAACCTAGTAAATATATATTCTCCTAACTATAAATAAACATAAAAATTTGGTTTTAAACAAATAACCGATGAACGCACCAATCCTGCAGTGGGATCTTAGACTATTAGATTACTTAAATTTATACTTATTATTAACTATATTATTTTTGTGAATGGTTTAAAAGAATTGATTGTACCAAAATTTCCACCATTTTACCTATATCTTTGTATCAGTTAAGAACCTCATATAAAATAAATAAAAATAAACTCACCCATACTAAAATAATATCCGTTTCTTGAATTCTAGGTATAAAGTTTAACCACTTCTGTGTTTTTAAGAATGGTATTAATATGTTATCTGTTAAATTCAACTTAGTGTTGCCATATTTAACATTTAGTAGTTTTAATTGTGAGAAGTTTAGGCATAACTGTAGAAAGGCCATCACTAATGGTGGATTCTGAAAATTATTATAAAGAATATAATATATATATGTATCTTATATATAAAATTTTCTTGTCGCGGTGTTAGACAGAGAACTCCTCCGAAACGGCTGGACCCATTTTGATGAAATTTTATGAGCATATTGAGTAGGTCTGAGAATCGGCCAACATCTATGTATTTTTTATACCCCTAAGTCATAAGGGTTGTTCACGCTTAATTTTATTTTTGTAATTTTCGGACGAAATGTTTTTTAAATGTAGCATTAAAAAATACATACAACCTAAAATTTTTACTTTTTTATCACCAACCCCTATTTTTAAATGGCAAAACCACGTTTTGCCGGATCAACTAGTATATACAAAATATTATACATATTACAATAAAGTATTGACTAATCAAAAATATGTAGCCTTAACTTGAAGTGATTTGTTTTTTTAAGTAACTATGCATAATAATTTCCAGTAAGAAAAATATATTCTTTTAAGATTAATATTAACTACTTACATAGTTCAACTTCAATACACATTCACCAAATTTATTCAAGCATTGCTTTTCAAAGTCTTGGAAAGTCGACCAGAACTCTTCAGCTATAGGAAGTGGGACGGTGTGGTCGGCCATTTTGTTGTGCCTAAAGAAGCTCGACAAAATGGCGGATAGAACTTCTGATAGTGTTATTATAGATGGGCCTAGAATGTTGACATTTAAAATATTAATAAAATAATTTTAACGATGTAGTATTAATGTTATATTGCAATATAGATATATTGGATAAAATTTGATTGGATGTATATTTTAGATATTTTCTTTAAATTGTATTTATATTTAAAAAATATATAGTTATAGTTTGACGTTTGTGATTAGAATCAAAAATTATTATTTAAAACCAAGAGTAAAAAAGTAAGAGTAAAAGATTCAGGAACAAAATTCCTATTACATTAATAATCTATTCATTGAAATAAATGTTATTAAATTATACATACTAACGAAACCCTCTTCAAGCATCATAAGACAGTTTTCCTCGAAGTCTTTTTGTAATGACACCAATAATACTTTGTTTTGTCTAAACATTAGTTCTGAACTCAATTTTCCATACAATTCTATACAATCTGGCGGCAAAATGTCATTACCCGTCAAAATGGCGGATTCAATTTTGTCACAACTGTCACCGTTTTTCAAAGCTTCTTTTAATTTCTGTTTCAACTCAAATTGCTCGACATTGTTGGCTTCTAAACTCAATTTTATGTGTGGTATTATTTTATTAATAAAGTCAGCGCCACGACTGAGTTTAAATAAGGTTTCTATGAAATAATTCATCATGGATATGTATTGTTCTAAGATGTCAGATTTCTTTTTCTTTGACGTCATTATATATGGTAAAATTAATTCAATTTTCTGTTCTACTATCGACGGATCAAGTTTTAAAGCCACTTCTAATATCTGTAAGGTAACTTTATCGAGTTTACCTTCCAATTTTATCTGTCCTAACATAACAGCTTGTAGGAATGACGCGAAATTTTTCTTTATATCAATATTAGTCATTCTTTCACCGAGTGTGTCAGTGAAACGAACAGATAAACTGATCTCTTGTGAATGAAGAGCTTCAAGCATTTTTAGGAATAAACCTCTCTTTACTTTTTCGTCGTTATCAAATTGAATTGGCGGCATACGCATAGCTGGTAGCATATAATTCTGACTCATATTAAACGCGTTTGTAGCCATAACGTAGAAAATAAAGCATATTTGACTCTCACTTCTGAAGCAACTCGTAAAAACGTAAATGAAATCAGATAAGAATTTGGGATCCTTATCAGTCCTTCCTTTTGGGAATGTGAAAAATGAACTCATGATTTTCAATACAATCTGTATATTATCACCCTTTTCAGCTATTAAGTCATCAATAGTCTCCTTTCTGATCAAATTTGTTAGGAAACTTGAGAAAATCTGCTTTTTACTCAACGGGAACAATATATTTTCGCATAAATTTATCGTGGAAGAGTGAGATTTTGTGTGAAGGAAACAAAAAATCGTCTCCAAATTTTCTCCTTCTAAAAATTTGATAATGAACTGCAACTTCTTTTTGGATTCCTTATAATATTTCACGATATTATTCAAAATACTATCAACCATAGCATAATTTTCTTCATTATGTAGTTTTTGTAGTAATGTTGTAGCTATTAATAAGAAATCTTCAATGTGTAGACTTAGTTGGGACGACATTTTTGTGTTATCCATGAATGCTGTAATATTTTCTACATCATTATTTTCCAATATATTGCTGTGGATATATTGAGACACCACCTGAAAAATACAGTCATATTCCTTTAATTTTAGTAATTATATTTCAAATAAAATATCTCTAATACATCGCAATATTAAAACTGTTTAATGTTATTTGTCCTATTGATATAAAAAACTAATGAGAATCTTCTCATCATTCAATGTATTCACGGTGCGTATGTCAGGTCCATCATTGTAGTGAGAGGAGCTTCAACAGTGTCTGTGACTTGTGACTTGTGAAATTCGAAATAATCTACTAGGCCTGCCTTTGAAGTATGTTCCAAGAATTAATGGATATAAGTTCTGGACAGTAGCAAGTCGTTAAGTAGGTTGTAGAGAGATTTACCTGTTAAACCCCTTACTCCCACTTACATATTAGCAAGTTGCAAACAGAAATCCCTCATTAACTTTTTACTGATTACACTTATTACTATGGATAATTAATCTTTCGCCGACAAATAATTATGATATTGTTTATGTACTAACTTTATATGCAAGTATAAAATATTTTATATGTTGAAGGTTACTTATAATACTTAAATGTAAAAAAAAAAATACTTTGGAACTTGAGTAACTTTCTTAACAAAATATATTTTTATTCAACATCAGAATTTCACATGCATATACTTATTATGTTTTTTTTTTGACAAAAATCTATAATTTATACCTAAATAAAATATTGGTACACAATCTCTGATGATATTTTATAAAAAATTATATACAGTTGCATAATACATAAATATACAGGGTGACTGGTGAATTAATATCAATATTTAAGGAGTATACTCGGTACATGATTCTCATTCGAATTATGTAAAAAAATAGGTACTTAATCTTTGACCAAATTTCCGTATAAATAAATAGAGTGTGGACACGTTCCAAGTGTGTGTGTGTGTGTATACCTAATCTGTAGGGTGTTCACACGATGTGTAATTAATTACACAACTTTTGGTTAACTTTACTTAGAAGTTTATTAATATTTATGTTATATTAATTTTTATTTTGTCATATATGATCGTCAAATATCACGTCCTCAAGTATCGATAGTAATTCACCAGTCACCCTGTATAAGTAGTAAGTCCTTTCAAATATATAATTATGTTTTGTTTAGTTAAACTGTTCCTTCTTTTTTAATACTACGTAATATAAATTTTTATTCTATTTAATTGTGCTTTTGTGATCTCATTATCAGTAAACCATCTTAAGTTAAAATATGTTCTTAAAGAAATTTTAGTCACTGTAGTATACAATAAACCTATTAAATTTGTAGTATATGTATTTTGAAAAGCAAGACTGAATGACATTATCTTATATAATAAAAAATCTATACACCTATTTTATATTTGAAATCATATTATTATTACCCAATACCGAGCAATTATAACTAAACCAACAAATACTTTATTAATAGATATGACATATTTTTTCAAAAGACCCTGCCTACACAAAAAAATTGGATGAAGAAAAAACATCTAAATGCAAGTTTAGATTGACTTTTTTTGCCTTAATCTGTTTCCTTTGAATTATAATGTTGGTATCGTCAAGAAAATATTGACTACCTAGTCTAATACTGAAATAATGCATTCATCACTAACAACTTTATATTTTAAGGACTATTTATTACAAATTAAAAGAATATAGCCTAAAAATTAATGATTATATGGACAACATATTAAAAACTAAATAAAGAAAGCCAGTTTAACATCATAGTATGTATAAAATATCATATAAGATGAGTGACGCTGCTGACTCCATAGAATGAACACCAAGCCGTGTGAACCAGAAGATTCCTGACACCACACAAGCTATGGAATGATATTGCCATCCTAACATGCGGACAATCATGTAGTCTTAGGTGTAGGTTATAAGTTTTACTGTATAATTCTTATTACAATATACATATAAGTAAGTTTTGTAGTTTTCCTGGCACTAGCTGCCACCCTACATAATTTACTCTAAAATATATTTAATAAGTACTGTGAAATGGAGACTCTTTAAGAGTTAATACATATCACATGGTCGCGCTGGAAGGCGACAAAAAACTAATTGAATTAAAATAAATTCAAATAAAAACGAATTAAAAAGAATAAGAAAGAATGACGTTCAGTTTGGAGTGAGTAGGGCTTGCCATCGCATTAATATAAAAGAATGTTAATGGTTTAAAATAAAAATAAAATAATAAATGGCAAAGCAGTTTAAATTATACATATAAAACGATCCCGAAGGCATTGTGAGGCATTAGTACATTAGTTGTAGTGAAGTTTATTTAAAAATAACAATTTCGTAATTCATTTAACATGTTACGAAGTGTGAAAATACTTTTATTAAATTTTATTATTTTGGCAGAGTAACATATACATGTTGTTTTAATTGATAATATTAAATTGTATGACATAAAAGGTATATATATTTTCATCATTATATTGCATTTACTTAAAAGTATCAATACTTGTAAAAGATGTGTTTTTTTTTATAGTATGTCTTCTTTGTATTAGGGTTGTGGAATATTTTTGTATAACAATTATTTTTTGTTAGACAAATTATAATCTGGAGTGCTAGAATTTCAAAAATGCATTCCTAATAGTTGTGGGAAAGATTTTTTTTCCAAGTATATTCATGATATCGATATAAAATATTAATAGGAGCAATTTTGAGAAAAATAGCATAAACTATTACATCTTTGTAGAAAGAGTCAAATTGGAGATTATCAAAAACGGTAACAAACATTGAAATGATAAATACTTTGTACAATTACGAGTAAAAGAGTGAAGGAAAAACACGAAAACATGTTTATTTTATATTTTGTAGTTTATTACCTCCCATTTAATGGAATGAAATAATGATTTGAAAAAGGATTTTGACATTTATATAGAAGGAAAAGTGTAACAACTTTCATTTACAGAGGTATTGGAGTCTAGGAGAAATAGCTTATAATATTGTAGTGTTCATGACATTAAAATTAAAAAAGTATGAGTTACCTGATCTGGGTGGAGACTTTAATTTAAAATATATGTAAATTAAGAATCTTTTACCTAAAAGTATTTTACAACACTTCTGTTTTTATAATAGTTTTAAAAGAAAATTTTCTCACCTTTATAAGTTTACTTTTAAATTCGCACGTGAAATCATCCACATTATTCAGCCAGTTCAAAACTTCACACAAGTCCTTGCTTTTGAGTTTATTAGTTTTTATTAATTCGTCAAGCCAATCGGCTATGACTCTTTCTTTTGGTGCTATAGGAAAATGCTGGGATTGTACCACATTTCTTGCCAATTTAAATCTTTTTGGCAATGGTGTTTCATCATCTTGTAGTCTTCGCTTCAATTCTATTAAAAAAGTTGATTAAAATCAGTGTAAGTATAACGTGTTGTTTACACTATAAGGTTATGGTTTAATTTATACAAACTTACCATTTAATGGATATTGCGACATTTTAACACTTAAAGATTAATATTATTATCTATTAACTGTTTCAATTATTTAATTATAATATAAGAATAACTATAAAATGGCCCTATTTAATAACCAGCGCCATGGCAATAGCACATGCCAATATTATGGTAACGTGCGTTTTGTTAATGCTGTAGCTTGAATGAAACGTCAAATGTTGTTATGAAAATAATATTTTTTTTTGAAAATTACTAAATTTTGATTAATAAAAAGGTATTGAATTAATATTTCATAGTATTATAGGGTTTAGAACATTATAATTATAAATAAATATTGCCCGACAACAGCAAAAACAAAACGTGGAGGCATGTTCACAGCATTAGAACATAGCGTCTTTTTATTCTAAGAAGCATAAACAAGATCCTTTTTAGGATTCCTGTTTGCATTGAAAAGTTATATGAATAAAAGAACAGTATCTATTGACACTTGCAGAATATATTTTAAAAAATATTCAAGGGTCTTTTTATTTAGTTTCTTTTTTTTTAATGATTTATAATAAGTCAGGAAACAACCAATTGCAATCCCACTAATATGGAAAGTTTCTAAGAGACTAAGTCTCGGGTTAAACTAAGTTTCTATATTATTACTATGTACATAAATAACTAGAATACTATAGTATATATACAACTATCTGCTTATGAGGCGAATGTGTATTAGTATCTTCTAGAAATTGAAAACTTGTTTTTCTTTTTTTTGTATATATGCACCAGACACTTATAAGTTGTTAAGCTACACATAAAAATTTCTAAGTTATAAGTTGTTAAGCTACACATAAAAATTTCTAAAAGTTGGTCACTCGTTCTACCTACATGCTTTTTGCCATACAATGATATTTAACACTAGTTAATGAAGACGTTTAATGTTTGTGTAGGTAGATAATAAATATATTACAAGCTTCATAAAAAGTTTTGAGTAGAACTCTAGAAAATCTCCGCGTGGGTTAACAGCTATTTACCACAAAGTGGACTACATTTGCACCCTTAAAACTTAAACATAACTCTGGCAACCGTTGAATTGGTATGAATTACTTGTATTGAGGTATTTTTAATCGATTTTCAACCAATTTTTTATATGGAGTATCTCTTTCTTAGATTTAGTAATTACATTAACTTAACAACAAATCTCCACTAGGGTTAATTCCACCTTCCTTTATAAATGTTATTAATGCCAAGACAACTAGCTTCTTTAACTGATTAAAAAAACTTTCCAGAAGTGGTAATCATCCTTATTTTTGGAATCATTGTAAATGCTATATCGAGGGTCGGGTGTGTGGAATCTTTACGCAATGTTAAGACCGAAGGAGAAATCTTGCCATAGATGATATACATAAGTAGCTTGCCACTAATTGTGGTCTATTAAGAGCAAATGGTTTCATGTACATCTGCTTAAAGATAAGAACTATTTACATATTTGATTTAAAATAAAAAAGGAAAAGAATTATACAATACCCCTGACGTTGCCCAAGTGTACTTCAAACTCTAGATGAGATTCGGTTGACCAGCTTACGGACCAATACAATTTTATGACCGCAGTATTATGGGGGAAAGTTTAGACAAAGTATTTTGAGATCATTGTAGTTCAGATGGAAAACCTTTTGTAAAATTTCTTTATATAACTCTCGTTCTATTTTTTTAATGATGGGGAGAGGAGTTGGGCTATTCTTTGAAGCCGTCGTATCTTTCAAATCGAATCAGTCAATTTATTTTCAAAGATGGTCCATCCTCCAAATATGTACTCTATTTTTATCGATATTACAGTCACGGATCCACCTTGAAAATTTCGTAGGCGAATCGGTGAATGGTTTTATATATTAGATTTAACTGAGAAACTTGTGGTGCACCAGATCTACTGTGGTAGAAATTTGAGTGTCCTTGCTCAAGATTTGTATCATACAAAAGGAATCTTCTCATCATTAAGAGTAGGATTCAGGGAGATAAAGACTATACAGAGGAATATCCTGATATGACGTCAAAATTGTCACAAAATGTCAGATATATTTAGGCAAAAATTATTTTTTTTCTTTAAGGGCAACCTAAATATTTTATTTTGCATACAGCATATATTATTTTGTATTAATTTAATGTTAGTCTTCCTTAAAAAAGTACCTTCTTAAATTTCTTGCCTGAAATATATTATTTTATACATGATGTTATTAAACTTAATTTTAGCAATAAATAAATAAACTATTGTAGAGATTAGATCACTTGTAAGCTAATGTTCTGCACGAGGTCAAATTTCGAAGGACATATGCAATTATTCAGTCAGTGTTAAGCTTGAAATACAAGGACGTAGCCATCCAAGTGAAATTACAAGCAATAATTACAAAGACAAAAGATCTATATACGTCTAACAAAAGCTTCGTGAAAGCGCGAATTAATAATAGCTCTTGCGAATTAAACTGTCGCTATATGAGAGTTATATTTGAATGAACAGCATATAGCATAGCTTCATTCATAAAATTTTGCAGCCATTTTTGGCGTTAAACCAAACTCACGGTCACAAACGTTATTTGGGCCAAGGAGAGGATTTTGCGCATGTTCTAAATGATTGATTTTTCCCATGACGTCACAAGATGTCCGCCGCGCCGCCTTACCGCTTGGTATAAAAGTTTAAAAAACAAGCTCAGTCGTTAGTATCAACCAAATGGACATATAGTATCAAGTTTTTGATACTGTTTAAAAGATATCCTATTGTTGTAATCATTGTATAATAGATACGATATGTCCCTTAACAACTTAGCGTCGATCGCGCATTCAACCATGGGTAGTCTTGGAAAATTGTTGTTTTTATGTGAGTACATAGATTTTTATATAAAAAATGCATGTTTGCTACAATTTTTTTCGTGAATATGTAAAAAATGCTTTGTTTATATTCAATATTCATTGGCATTCTAAAGTAAAGGATTTATTCCTAAAAATAAATGTCACGCTTTAAGTGAATTAAAATTACAATAGCTTGAAACAATAGCACATTACCACTTTTCTGTATCTTAATTTTATTATTAACGTATATATATTTTGTTTCGTCGCCACGAAGTTAAATTTTCTCATTATTCTTCCCATTGGGATGGACAATGGTGAAACGTGTTTCATTATACGTATATTCCTGTGAATCCGTAAACCGTTAAATAATTTAATCCATTTTTTTTATGATTTATCTGTGCACGTGTAAAGTAGTTGGTAATTTTGAAACTATTACATTCAAAAAAAATTGACATTGAATTAAATTCGTTTTAAATATGTATACAATATAATTTGTAACGGCTATATAACAATTAGATTTTATATAATATCTTATTATTAAATTAAAAACAAGAATGCGCCCAAAAAACCATTTCGTTTGACTAATGACAGTTCATACTGGCCGTAAGATATCCAATTATGTTTTTTCGTGCCATATTTTTTTCTATTTGTTGGCAATACCGCCAAAATTCATAGAAATTATATATTCAAAGATTTATTATTAAAAAATCGTAATTTTATACTGTTATTTTTGTTTTAAAGCATTTTTATGTATAAAATATTTATATTTCTATCAAGTGACGTGTCCAAAGTAATTAAAGTGTGTCATTAATTAAACTTTAGATTGGGTTTGACATTTAGTTTGTTCATTATTCATGTACTCGTAACTTACAGACATTATATAAATTAATTTTAATTCACTAATGTTACTACGTAATTATATAAATATTATATTTTAATTCGTACATTAATCTATCAATTATGTATAATTTTAATTTGATTGACGTCGGATAATCTATTTTAAATATAAATTCAAAATTTGTGACATAAAAAAACTTAAAATAAGTAACGTAATGAGAACTAAGATTTTCGCGAAAATTCATTTAAATGAAACTAATATTTCTTAGATTACTACGCGATTTTTATTTTTATCAAAAACTACATACTTGCAACGTTTCGGTTACTTTATAGTAACCAACACGGTTGCTAGAAGTAGTATATCCGAAAAATATTAGTTTCATTTAAATAAGTAACATCGCTTTATCCAAGAACACAATATAAGCCTAGAGTATTATTAAAATTAGTTCTAGTAGTTCATTCAGATTCATTCATTTCCATTCGTTACATAACATGAACGTGTGAATGGTTATGAATGACCGAATAAGTTTGACAGTGTCCGTTGACTACAGACGTCACGCTAAGAATTCATTAGCATAATGAAAAATAAAATAAAATACATTCAGTGAGTCACAAAAACCGCTTCCTTAATAACATTAAAATGGCGGTAGAGTATTATATCCTGAATTTACTCACAATGTACGGTATATATAGCATTGTTTATTTGGAAGATATTTTTTACATATTAATATCTCGAGTCTTCTTCTTCTACCTGTCAATTTCCCGGCTATAGTCAGGGTCTGCCTTACATGTTGTGAATAGTTTTGGCTAATTGTTTTTACGACCGGCCAATGCCTGACATCAACCCACTTTGGTAATGCATTAATCAGTGATGTCTAAATACTCTCAGAAAGTACATATGACTCCGAAAAATCACATTGGTACTTGACAAGATCGAACCTACGCCCTCGTGCATGTCAGGCGGACCTTTTAGCCACTAGGCCACCACTGACATAATATCTTAAGTATTATTATTTAAATATAACGTAAAACTCATCTTCAATTATTATTAATTTAAAGTAAATTCTTTTCAAAGGCATTGTTTGCTAGTATACAGATGACATAAGTAGGTTAGTATTTTTGCCGTCACGTTCTTTCTATGGATAAAAAGATTTATATTACTATGAGTTATAACAAAAATAATTTATAATTTAAATAATAAAATCATCTCGGCTGTATATAAGATGTTCGTAGCCCAAGTATGAATAACTGTTTGAAATACTGACATTGACACTTAGTAAAGGTTAAAATTACTATGTTACATAAGACTGCTATAGAAAAGTTTTATAATTCAAAGTTCACTATACAATGACCGAAAGCTGAGTTTTAATCAGTAAAAAAGTATATACCCATGGAGGTTTTAATGTTAGAAAAAACTGGTGTAGAAATATTTTTAATCTGTGGCTATTAAGGCGGGTTTTGATAAGTTTTTTCTTGTAACTTTTTAACAAAAAATCCTATGAAACAAAAGACGTGAATATTATAATTGAACTTTTTTGTAATTATAGGATATATTTTTGTAATAAATCAGTTTTATTTATTCTTATTTTAAAGTTTTACTACTTCAAACTTTATACTTGGTAATCTTAAAATAGATTATATAAATAAAATGAAACAACTTTCGAATAATTGAAGTTTAATATGAATAAAAGATTTTTACTTTATAAATGTTAGAACTAATTGTAGTCTATTTCAATTAACTTGTAATGTCTAATACATTTAAATTTGTAAATCATTTTGTTGTTCTCATTAAGGGGTAGATGAGGGTCTTAATATGTATTAAAGGGAAGATGAGTCAATTTCTTAATTTGTAGTATCACATGTATAATTTATCCCGGAATTTTTGTATTTAAAGTAATAAATCCGGTTTTTGAACTTTAATTTATCTTCTGCATTAATATCAGATTTTTTATTCATAACATTACTTTGGATACCTAATTTGATTTTTTTAAATAGTTAAGTGTATTTAAATAATTTATATTCTGTTATATCTTTTATAGTAAAAAATATTTAAATCGATTGCGCGATGTTATTTTATTTACTTGAATATTTAAAGAAAGTTATTTTTCAATTAATATTATTGTTTTTACAATTATCGTTATAGACAAGGTATAAATTTAGTTGTACTTTACGTTTACACAGACTATAAAAAAAATTTTAATCTCCACAACAGGATATTACGTCATTATACAACTTCCTTCTCTATTCTCATCTTTTGCTATTGTTATTGTCATTTCTTTATGTTACGCTGTACTCGGATTTTTTTTTAAGAAATATTCCTTTTGTCTCAATGTCTTTTCATAATAATAAGTTTTAATTTTTCATTAATAAAATGACGTAAGAATTGCTAAGCAAAATATTATGTGGTTTTACAGAGACATCGATTTCTATATGCGTATTTATCCTTTAATTTATTATAGCTTTGAATTTAATATAATATTCATTGATAAACACTTTAGTTACCGACGTTTTATAGTTTCAGAAATTTAAATAATATTTGTCTCTCTTTCTCTTTCTTTTCTCTCTCTCTCTCGTATATTTTTCGCCAATATCTTAAACTTGTCTATACTTTTAAATGTCAAAATTACCGCCATTTTTATTGTTAAGTATTTGACAAGTACATATATTTTTTTTAAAAACAAAATCATATGTAATATATATGTTAACAATAAAATATAATAGGACATCTCTACCGATATTAAATATATTCTATTGATTGATTGTATTCGTGGGAAATTAAATATTTATTTCGAATCGTTATTCTGCTACCTTCCATAATTGTATACGGATTTTATTTATTAATAATAAATCACGTTATCACTTTATTCGTTACAATCTATATTTAAGACCGCCCACCGTTGTACGGCCTTTAAATAGGCAGATTTGTAACATCAACGTCATTGGCTTAAAATAACGTGAACCTTGGCTTACGTCATACGAGACTTTAATGAGATCGTCTTTGTAAAAAACAACTATAAAACTAGCCTTATTAAATGTAAAAATATTCTATCTATATAATTTTTGGACGTCTTGTAAATTTGACATAAGTCAGATATATGATTTGACAGATTTGATAGATTTGACAGTTGACATTAACAACTAAATGTAAAGGGAGTTTCTTATTCGTCTTATATATAGTTTTTCTCATATTTATATAACATAGATAATCAATATATGAACAATATTTAAAATCTACATATAATTACAACTTGAATGAAACAAAGCATTGTTTATGCTCATTGTTTTTAATAGACTTACAACGAGATGCGGATGCAAGTACTTTGGAAGTGCCAATTTAAATTAATTATCTTCTTATAATTATAAATCTGATCTCATTTCAATATTGTAGGGCTGTTTTATAAAAAAATTAATATGTCAGAAGCGTCCAAGTATGTCAATTGCGTTTAATTAGGTTTGGGGCTTTGTTAAGGCGGGTTTTGAAGTTACACGATTGGGACCAATTCAATAGAAGACAAAGTTTGGCAAACTTAGACAGTGGTTGAACTTGTCTTGCTAGAATAATAAGACTTACGACTCTAATATATATTAGTCTTAAAGAAGAATTTCGCTTGGCACCCGTTTTTGTCGTCCCTAATTTCGTTTCTCTTTTAATACTAAAATGTGAAAAGTTTTATGAATGAAAAACTATTAAATCTTAGTGTGTATTGTGACGATGCAATCTCGGTTGAGCGTATTGAAATTTTTATTTATATTTTTCTTAAGAATTGAAATATTTCCGATACATAGTGTTAAAAAAATAAAAAATTATTACGTCGCATTTTAACCGTAATTGATAATAGAGTTTAGATTATTCAAAATAAATTGCATTTTCACTATGAATGAAGCAGTTTTTTATCTAGAATTTTGAATAGGGATTTCTAAAGCTTACAATGCAATATTTATCACTAAATTATTTTTTAATGTATTCCTTCCTTTACTTTTTTAATTCCATCCTAGATTATACTTTTTTTTGAAGCTATGGCTTCATTCCAACTGGAAAATTCTTTATACATATATTTCTACTAGCTTTTGCCTCGGCTTCGTCCGCGTGGAATAGTTACTTCCGACATATTTTTGGTTCTTCCCACATAGTTCCCGTTCTTGCGGGGTTTTCGGAATGGTCGAGTTCCCGTAGAATTTTCAGGATGAAAC